GGCTCATCTCATTTAGTTGGCTATGTCATTCTATATACACCACAATGCAGTTCTCACTTTCTCAGTTTGTGTAGTGTCACCATTTAGGACTTATAAAAGGGTAATATTGCTATGTCATACATTCACATACATGTATTTGTCTTTCTCTATCACATGGAAGCACTGGGGACTGGGGAAGCCCTCATATTCCCTCTTATACCTTTATCAGTTCTGACCATTTCTGTCCCCATACAGTATCCATCTCCCATCCAATGAGATTGAGGAAGTGACTATGTAACATCGGGTCACACACACTCTAGAAAACATTTATGTGGGAGTCAAACAATGTTTTATTTTGTCTGTTGTCTTTTTCTGCTATATAGAGTGACCATGATGTTCCTTGTAGCTTGTCTGCCAAAGTAGGGTACAGTAGGGTACAGCCTACTCACATGGGTAGACTATAATTCGTTACTAAACTAGATAACTGTTAATTCAATTAATGGGCAAATATAGCCCATGACAATCAGATTGGCTACATTGGCTATTCAGGGTTATAGGTGAACAAACATGTGATATCAGTTTCAAAGGACTACTTTACAAACATCTGAACTGCAATCATTGTGCTTTGTTCGTTATTTTCATCAGGAGCAAGAGGGATGGCAAGTTTATGAAAGCTTGTAACAATATCAGACGTATGTGTGAATAGTACACGGGGTACTATCTCATTTCTTTATTTTTTCATGTAGTTTACTGTCATTACTGTTGCTGAAACTTTGCAGCAATAAACTAGGGCTGCTGTAGCTGCGGCTGGGCGGCTGTACATAGGCTAGAACAGAGGCACAGCTCTACAACATCCGGGCATTCCTCAGCCTGCGCAGAAACGGAATGGCGGAGGTAAGTGAGCAAAAAGGCTTGGGGAGGAACATGAGGACTAATGATATTGAAACAGCTCCGCATTTGATAGCTTCTGTCATCCTAGACGGCAGATATCGATGTTGGCAATTGTATCAACGTGTTACGGAGGGTTGTGAGTGAACCATGGGTTGATAACTAAGGAAGTAAAATGGGGGTATTTTTGTCCCTGTCTCGCCTCTCCGCGTTCTTCGCGTTAAAAAGCCATTCCCAATTTTCCAGATCATGCGCTATAGAAAACAATGGGAAACCGGTTAGACGGTGGTGCTGAAGAAGTGGTCCAGGTGTGCTCCGTTATAGCAAGACATTTTGACTGCAAACTTTGAGAGAAGTCCGACTTATTTCAGATACTCTCTCGGTGTCTTTTCGAGTGAAAACGCAACCTCCAGAACTATTTCCTTCTCTCTTGGGTCATTCGTGAGTCAGAGGAAGGAACGTTCAGCACCAAGTTACAGGAAAGCGCCCTGGCCCTGGTCAACGCGTCCTGAAGTGGAGTGGACTAAGCTTTACAAAGTTCTAGTGGCCATAAACGAAGGCCTACCAGGCTGTCACTTATGTATGGTTTGTGAGAGTATCTGCCCAAGAGTTTTAAGTAGACCACTGCTCCATTTGCTTAAGGTCAAAAGTAACTCTTGACTGTTGCTAGTTGTTGTAGCCCTGAACTAGCTCACCTGATTGACCAAGTCAAAGGCTTGATGATTAGTTGACAAGTTGAATCAGGCGTGCTAGCTTTGGAATATATCAAATACATGGTGGAATGGCTGGGGGTCCCCCAAGAGATGTTTGAGAACCACTGTCGTCCTATCTTCATGGATTGTCTTTTTGGCCAAACAGTCACATTTTTGTAATACCATTAGTTTCCACTGTTGGATAAACTTAGACTGTTCTTTAATTAATGAGTGGCTGTAAGGCAAGTAGAAAGACTGGTAACACTTTACTTAATATGGGAGGTAGGCCTATGCATTATAATAGCGCTATAATGCATTTGAGGACTTGTCATAAGCAAGTATGACAGGCCGTATGTCTTAATATCATCTCATAATGATCCTGACTAAATAAAAGCCATTTTGAGTTGACAATTGACAATTTGCTACATAGAGTCATAACATTATAATCAGACATGATAAATGCTTTATACATGCTTCAACCAGAAATAAAGTGTAATATCTGTGGGCATTATACCTGTACTGTTGCCCTCAGTCTGTGGGTGTGTCCAGCTGTCCACTGTAGAGCCAGTCATCAGCTCTCAAGTTAATTTGAAAAAGGGCGGTTCAGAAGAAGCCAAGAGTCAGCTGATCTATAATGGGATGAACAGGCACCTCCTAAACCTCCACGATGTTAACCCTCCGTGTGTGTGTGTCTTAGCTGGTTAGATGGGCTCTGGAGATCACAGACGCAGCCTAGTGGAGATCCTGAGGCAGGGCTATGAGGGGCCGGAGGAGGAGTCCAGGGCCCTAGTGGAACTGGAGAAGAGCCTGGGGGCCGCCCAATGAAGATGGCAGCATGCCCCCACACTGTGAGTACAGTTCCTCTGGCATAAGGGGCCTCATTTATCAACCGTGTGCAAATTTCTTAATACTGTAAATTCTGGCGTACGTGGAGATTCTAGGATTTGCGTGCGCAACAAATTGATCAAACTGTCGCAAAATATACGCATGTTTTCATTGATAAATCAGAGTCATACTATATTGTGCGCTTGTGAACGAGCGCTACAAACCCGCCTGGAGAACACCCTCCATTCAGCTTTTATGGTAACAAAAACACCCTCATTTGCTGTATGATTTGGAGATGTTGGAACTGGGCCATGATAGTTTCTAAAAGAAAGCGCAATGGCAAATTTGATTACATTTCTGTAGAGGTGTGGGCAGAATGTTTTAATATTTTGCAGTGACTTTTTCAAACTAAAAACGCATGCTGCCTATAGCGAGTGCCAAACACTGGCCACGCATTCTGCAAGATTGATTGTCCTTTCAAGCAATTAAAAAGTAAATGCAAAATATGAATTGTTCAATATTTTGTTTATCAATAGATTATTTTGTTTCTATATCCTGCCTTGGTATAGGCTCAGAGATTAAATAGGCTTTGATGTTGTGCTCCTATCTCACAGCAATACTGTAGCCTACACATACTGTAAAATATTTTAAATAGGCTACCGGTCTATTTACTTTCAAGCATGCTTGGCTATAATATTGATTGAACGATTGATAAATGATAGCCTAATATTTGTTGTTTAGCACGAATAAACCAGTAATGTCAGAAAAGGAGAGACATGTCCTGCAAATTGATTATGATTTAGGCCTATATAATACAAATAAAATAACGTGACCGACCGGCTCGATTCAGTCTTATGTAGTAAAATTTGAAATTGTGTTTTTTACATTGGATAAAAGTAGAGACTCAGAGCTAGAAAATGGTATATCATACACTACAGTTGAGGAACAATGGGAAAGTAATTCTGCTTTGAAAGTTGATCAATTTAACCCCACTTTTGAGAAAATGGCCCTTGAATGTTTTGGTACACCTACATGAGAGCTCTTCTTTGTCTACACCCATTCAGCATCGTTCACACCCTCTTAAGCCTTAGCCCAACCCATCTCTTTAAGGATTCACATGTGAGGCCATGTGCTAAACAGAGTGAGTCCGATGGTAGTGTACTAAACAACCAAAGATTTCAAGACTAAAGGCTGGTTTATACTACGTCTATCGACATGTCTGTAGACAGTTGTCGCAGTGACATCATGAACATTCTATTGTCATCCGACATCAAACTTGTTGTTGTCGTTATGAAAAAGTATAATCACAAAAACGACAGGCTGCATGACATCAGCAGCCTGGTGGTCCAAAATAGCATAACTGGTGTATTTTAACACCAATAAACCCATCCGTATAAAAATGAATTTAGTATATGTAAATCTAGCAAACCAGGCAACTAAAAGCAACTTTCTAAACAATGTTTTGGTTTGTTTCTAGCTTGTTAGGTAGCTAGCTAATGTTAAGTTAGCTGACTAGAGCCAGTTCAAATAATGACCATATCATATAGCTGACAACATCTTAAATTTAGCTAATTTGTATTCATTATTACAGGAAAATAAACTCACATCAATATAATTATTTACAAGTTAATGGCGAGCTAATTACAGAAAATAGCTTACGGTTGTGAGTGTGACGAAATAAAAGCAGGGCATTCTACTGGAGAATTTTAGAACTTGGACACTGTCTCGTTGGCCTAACGTTATATCCTATTTTGACTTTGGTGCAGGTTATGTTGTTCTCCACATTACCGTCTCTGGTAAACACACACTATATCAAATAAAATCTAAGTTTATTTGTCACATGCACAGGATACAGAAGGTGTAAACGGTACAGTGAAAGGGTTACTTGCATAGTGGAGTCTTTTGTTTAGACGTAGCTAGCCATAATCCCAACTCATAACGTTACTACCCTGCATGAATCTGCAGGTAGCTAAAACTAACCAACTAGGTTCAATGTTAGCTAGCTAGCTAACAGGCTATAACTAGCAATGCAAATGTCTCTGAGATACGAATAATATTACTACACAGATCATACACGTAACGTTAGCTAGCGAGCCAGCCAGCCAGCTAACGTTAGCTAGCTAGCTAACAGTACACTTTAATTTAAAATGAAACTACTTTTTGACAAAATTAGAAACGTATAATATCTGAAGATTTAGCTAGCTAGACTCTCTTACCTGTAAACATGGATGAACGCTTCTCCCTCTCTGTCACGGATGCCATGGTTGCCCTTAGTTTGAAGATGTAATCCGGAGACAGGTGTTTTATACAACAGCCTTCTGTGTGTTCTCTTTTCGACTCCCTCTGCATATTTGCAATCAAATGGCAGAATTATCTCCATCTCCTTAGCTATCATACTCTGCTTCCACTGGACATTTCACTGATTTCAAAACTCGGTCCTCCAGAAAATTAGCAACACTTTTGCAGTTCTTCGTGATTTCTTAAAAAAAAGCAGTGTTAGAAAGGATTACCTACACATACTGAGCAGCTCATATTATAGACAGAAGCGCGCTACGTGGCAGACCAATACGAACTCATCTCTCGGCATGTCCAGCCCAGCCATTATCTCAGCCAATCATGGCTAGCGGGAAGGTTCCTGTATTTTTCCGTGGCTAAACCAACTAGGCTCAAAAGCCTGACCACACTGCATCCCTCCAGACCAGTAGTGAATAACATTATTCTGTATAATAGATTATCAATTATTCCATAATTCTAGATTAAAAAAACACGCCCAATCCCACATTGACCCCGAGCGATCACGCTCTCTTTCTCTCTCTCTCTCTCTCTCTCTCTCTCTCTCTCTCTCTCTCTCTCTCTCTCTCTCTCTCTCTCTGTCCCCCTTTCTCTCTGTGTAGGGCAGTGAGATGCCCCTGGAGGAGCTGCTGGCGCTGTATGAGTACGAGGTGTCTGACCCTCTCCTACAGCAGGACAGGGAGCCCAATGAGCTGTCAGCCAGTCTGCCTGACATGACACTGGACAAGGTGAGACCTGGGTATACCTAGACATACCTAAGACAGATAAAACTGAAAACACAGCCAGAAAAGCATTAGATCAGGGGTGCCGAGTCCCTCGAATTCCATAGTCCAGACAGTTTTTGTTTCTGCCTAGTACTTCATTGATTAATTTGTTAATAATTGGTTATTGGTGCACCCACCTGGTTTTCCAGGCATAAATCAATCAATAGTTAAAAAGCAAGATGGAAAACCAGCATAGCGTACGCTGTAACTGTCAAGGAGCTGTGTACTCCTGCATTCAAGAGCATTACATGATGCATGTTCTGGCATTGACATGATGTCTATTGATTATTTAATGGATAATGATGACTTGGTCCGTAAATAAATGAGTTAAAATGGGCTCTTGATGGCCTGTCTTGTCTATAAACACTCAGAAAACATGACAATTACAGAATCACTTTCATGTATCATAAGTGCCATTTACTTCACTGTGTGTGATGCTTAGAGAAGGTAGTGGACTGTTCCATTGAGACAGTAATGGACTGTTCCGTTCTTCCAGGACCAGATAGCTAAGGATCTGTTCTCAGGAGAGGATGAAGAGGAGTCATCAGCTGATGACCTCACTCCCTCTGTCACCTCCCATGCCTCCGACCTCCTCCGCCGCCACCTAAGAGGTACGACCAATGATGTCATATACAGTATCATACTATATAATGGGTATGACACACTTCCTCCCTTCCCAACAAAGCTACCACTTTCCATAAACAGCCCACCACCCACCCAGCCCACCACTCAGGAGAATCCCCTTCCTGTCATATCAATGGTCTGAGGGCCCTTTTATGGCAAGACTGATTTGTTTTTATTGGGTAGTATTATGAGAATGCTACATATTGGCAGTGGTGTAAAGTACTCAAGTACATTTTTTTGGGGTATCTGTACTTTACTTTACTATTTATATTTTTTGACAACTTTTACTTTTACTTCACTACATTCCTAAAGAAAATAATGTACTTTTTACTCCATACATTTTCCCTGACACCCAAAAGTACTTGTTACATTTTGAGTGCCTAGCAGGCCAGGAAAATGGTTCAATTCACACATTTATCAAGAGAACATCCCAGCTCATCCCTACTGCCTCTGATCTGGCTGACTCACTAAACACACATGCTTTGTTTGTAAATTATGTCTGAGTGTTGGAGTGTGCCCCTGGCTATCAGTACATTTAAAAAAAGAAAATGGTGCTGCCTAGTTTGCTTAAAATAAGACATTTGAAGTGATTTATACTTTTACTTGTACTTTTGATACCTAAGTATGTTTTAGCAATTACATTTACTTTTGATACTTAAGTATATTTAAAACCAAATACTTTTAGACTTTTACTCAAGTAGGATTTTACTGAGTGACTTTCACTTTTACTTGAGTCATTTTCTATTAAGGTATCTTTACTTTTACTCAAGTATGACAATTGGGTACTTTTTCCACCACTGCATATTGGTGTAACAAATGTTCCCATGTGTGTTCTCCAGCCCATTCCCTGGCAGGCGGAGACAAAGGCACCTTAGTCAGCACCTCAGAAGAAGATTCAGACAATGATGACGACACCTCTATTCCCTCCAATGATGGACGCAAGGTGAGACACTGGGGACTACTGAACAGCGCTCAAATCCTCTACAATTACTCTTTAGGTAAATATAAAAACCTGTTTTCTGTGTCTGTGTGACTGAAACTGTGGTTGTTCTTTTACCAGGACATCATGGTGGGCTCAATGTATCAAGCCAAAATCCCTCCTCTCAGCCCATACTCATACCAGGAGAGAGGTAACCCCCAATTTCCCCTTTCAGAATCAGTGCATATTTTAGATTAGTGTGTTGACACTTTTTGACTCGCCTCAGTCTCACAAACATTCTTATACTTGTGTCTCTATCACTAACTCTCCATCTCCTGCTCCCAGTCTATGAGAATGAGGACCAGCTCCTGTGGACCCCAGACATGCTGTCAGGCCAGGCTGTAGAGGAGTTCCTACTGAGTGCCCAGAGATGGGGAGGCCAGGAGGGCGCTAAAGACACCCTTATCACCGGGGACATAATCAAAGACAATGATCAGGTACTGTAGCGGGTTGGGGGCTAAAGCAGGAACAGAGTGGGACTTAGTGGGGCTCGATCTATACTGAAAAAATATATAAACGCAACTTGCAAGGATTTCAATGATTTTACTGAGATACAGTTCATATAAGGAAATTAGTCAATTTAAATAAATTCATTAGGCCCTCATCTATGGATTTCACATGACTGGGCAGGGGCACTGCCACGGGTGCCCACCCACTGGGGAGCCAGACCCAGCCAATCAGAATATGTTTTTCCCCACAAAGGGCTTTATTACAGACAGAAATACTCCTAAGTTTCATCAGCTGTCCGGGTGGCTGGTCTCGGATGATCCCGCAGGTGAAGAAGCCGGATGTGGAGGTCCTGGGCTGCCGTGGTTACATGTGGTCTGCGGTTGTGAGGCCGGTTGGACAAATTCTCTAAAACAACATTTGAGGCGGCTTACGGTAGAGAAATGAACATTCAATTCTCTGGCAACAGCTCTGGTGGACATACCTGCAGTCAGCATGCTAATTGCACGCTCCCTCAAAACTTGAAACATCTGTGGCATTGTGTGACAAAACTGCACATTTTAGAGTGGCTTTTTATTGTCCCTAGGACAAGGTGCACCTGTGTAATGATCATACTGTTTAATCAACTTCTTGATAATCCATCCACCTGACAGGTGTGGCATATCTTGGCAAAGGAGAAATGCTCACTAACAGGGATGTAAACAAATCTGTGCACCACATTTTAGAGAAATAAGCTTTTTGTCCGTATGAAACATTTCTGGGATCTTATTTTTTAGCTTATGAAACATGGGACCAACACTTTACATGTTGCGTTTATATTTTTGTCCAGTATACGTTTGTTAGCCAATTAACTTGTTTGCATGTTGAGTGATTTCTGCACAGTTCACATTATGGTCGAGGTCACAGATTTCAGTCACAACTGTTTCCCCTCTTTTCTCATTCTGTCCTTCAGGCTCTGTATGAGTTGGTGAAATGCAACTTCAATGCAGAGGAGGCACTGAGAAGACTGCGCTTTAATGTCAAAGTATTCAGCGGTAAGACCGTCCACGACACATGTATTACTGCTATCTAGTATGTAATGGCATCTTACTGCAATACCTTACTAGTAACAACAACTCTATAAACTAATATCAATAATAACTCACTAGTGGAAGCGAATGATTAATTCAACTCAATACAATTTTGTCTTTGAGGACCAACCACCACCCCTGTAGATTCTTCAACTCAATAACCACCCCTGTAAATCAAAAATGGGTTGTTAATTCTCTACAGCTGTTTAGTCTCTGGATGCTGCTAGTATTTTCAATTTCAGAGCATTTAAAAAAAGATGTCCCAAATTTATTGTGGGGATCATGGAGCTTCTTTGGTTTCTTTGGAACTTCCTCTGCTTTCCCTTGGAAATGCAATTATTTGATAGACCTACCATGAACCCATGTTACCAACAACTTGAAAATACACTCATACTATATATTGGCCGAGGTCAAATATTTAGGCTAAATCCCAGGGCTCGTATTCACAAAGAGTCTTATCTTATTCGTATCAGCAGTCCTACTCTGAAACCCTTTTTGAATATGGGCCATGGTCTGTCAGGTTTTTGATCCTGCATTTCCGTTGCGCACATCCAATCTGGGAGTGTAGGTGAAAATGTATCCTATTGTGCCCGCACCAGTGTAGGCTGCCAAATGATTCATTGTCTTGCGGTATTATAATATAAATAATGGAAATCATTGCATTCAAACATTGAGCATTCAAACATTGGAGCTTATGGGGTGAATAGATTTCACATGGTGAGCTACTGTAATATGAGTTACGATTAATTTAAGTCTGTTCAGGTTCCATTCCCTCCTAACTGCTGTTGTGTTCTGTGCAGAGGAGCTGTGTGCCTGGAGCGAGGAGGAGTGTCGAAACTTTGAACATGGCTATCGAGTTCATGGGAAGAACTTCCACCTCATTCAGGCCAATAAGGTGAGCAGAACAGAAACTTCTAGCGTCAGGTTTGGGGAGAAAACCTGATTTGCTACAAAGCTGAAATTCTCTGTTTTTCTGTCATGACCTTGACTGGCATCATACATTACCACTTAAATGCAAATGTTGACAGCTGCTTCAACATAACCTGAGGTGTACCTGTGCAAACCTGCTTGTCTGCGTTGATCAGACAGGAAACTCACTGATCTCCATACTGCAGCAAACATCAAACCAAACTGTGTTTACGTGTCAGGTACGCACACGGTCGGTGGGGGAGTGTGTGGAGTATTACTACATGTGGAAGAAGTCGGACCGCCATGAGTACTTTACCCAGCAGACCACCAAGCTGGGTCGCAAGAAGTACAGTCTGCAGTCAGGGAACATGTAAGTAGCACTGCAGATATGAGACGGTCTATCTCAATGACCCTGTCTAGACTTGACACTCAGGCTGCATTTAAATGCCAGCTAAATTAGCACATGCCCCCATCGTGTTGTTGTTGTCGTGATCTTCTCCTTGGTATGGCACTGTTCTCAGAATATATTATTGAAATATAGCGCAGGAAAAGGACATCCGAACACAATGTGGACACAGCAGACATGTCTTTTACCATGATGAGAATGTGACAGCATCATCTTTATCAGAACAGGAATGTGTGTAGAGGTGTAGAGACAAGTAAACAATATAACCTCCTTATTGTCATTATTTTCAGACTAGAGATGTTTATTATGTATAGCTGATATCATGCTGGGAGTTTGAAACTGAGAATGGAAATTAGTGTTCTTCTTGGACAAGTTCATGTGCAGTTGGGACTGTTTACATGAGTTTCCTACTATGTTGTGTCTTCCAGGGAGGATGAAGAGCAGAATGGAGAGGTTGGGGAGATGGAGGGGTGCTCCCAGATTGAGCCCCACTCACCCCCACCAGTCATGGACCTGGACAAGCAAGGTAACCCCTGGTCCCTAGCCTTAGCCCCAGCCCTAGTCCCAGCCCCAGTCCTATACCTCAGCCCTGGCCCTGATTCCTGCCCCGGCCCTGATTCCTGCCCCAGATAATTTTACTGAGACCGACAGACCACAAACACTACAGCTTGTTTGAAGGACTGAGGTCATAAAAGTTAGCTAGAACCATACGTGATAGTCGTATGCCCTCTCCTCTGAAGTCGCAGGCATCCACCCACTTGCTGTACCATTTCAAAGATACGTCATGCCAAATCACCCCATATCCACTGGTCTCTCTGTCTTACTTGAGTCTTATAATTTATTGTCTTGATTACATTGTTTGCCTCAGTTTGATGGGTGGTGTTTATTAACATATGATTTGAAGCATTTTTATATATTGTTTTATGTGTCTGTGTTTTCCCATTGCTTTGTGTGTATGTTTGTCTATGTTGACATGGCGTTGCAGAGGAGGAGGGCCGACCCCGTCGCAGACGAACGCCCCGCTTTCTCTTAAAGCCCTGAGCTCACTGCACACAGCCACTAACCAGGCAGGGCCACCAGGTAAAGACTCTAACCAGGCAGGGCCACCAGGTAAAGACTCTAACCAGGCAGGGCCACAAGGTAAAGACTCTAACCAGGCAGGGCCACAAGGTAAAGACTCTAACCAGGCAGGGCCACCAGGTAAAGACTCTAACCAGGCAGGGCCACAAGGTAAAGACTCTAACCAGGCAGGGCCACAAGGTAAAGACTCTAACCAGGCAGGGCCACCAGGTAAAGACTCTAACCAGGCAGGGCCACAAGGTAAAGACTAACCAGGCAGGGCCACAAGGTAAAGACTCTAACCAGGCAGGGCCACAAGGTAAAGACTCTAACCAGGCAGGGCCACAAGGTAAAGACTCTAACCAGGCAGGGCCACCAGGTAAAGACTCTAACCAGGCAGGGCCACCAGGTATATACTCTAATCAGGCAGGGCCACCAGGTATATACTCTAATCAGGCAGGGCCACCAGGTAAAGATACTAACCAGGCAGGGCCACCAGGTAAAGACTCTAACCAGGCAGGGCCACCAGGTAAAGACTCTAACCAGGCAGGGCCACCAGGTAAAGACTCTAACCAGGCAGGGCCACCAGGTAAAGACTCTAACCAGGCAGGGCCACCAGGTAAAGACTCTAACCAGGCAGGGCCACCAGGTAAAGACTCTAACCAGGCAGGGCCACCAGGTAAAGACTCTAACCAGGCAGGGCCACCAGGTAAAGACTCTAACCAGGCAGGGCCACCAGGTAAAGACTCTAACCAGGCAGGGCCACCAGGTAAAGATTCTACCAGGCAGGGCCACCAGGTAAAGACTCTAACCAGGCAGGGGCCACCAGGTAAAGACTCTAACCAGGCAGGGCCACTAGGTAAAGACTCTAACCATGCAGGGCCAGCAGGTAAAGACTCTACCAGGCAGGGCCACCAGGTAAAGACTCTAACCAGGCAGGGCCCACCAGGTAAAGACTCTAACCAGGCAGGGCCACCAGGTTAAAGACTCTAACCAGGCAGGGCCACCAGGTAAAGATTCTAACCAGGCAGGGCACCAGGTAAAGACTCTAACCAGGCAGGGCCACCAGGTAAAGACTCTAACCAGGCAGGGCCACCAGGTAAAGACTCTAACCAGGCAGGGCCACCATGGTAAGATTCTAACCAGGCAGGGCCACCAGGTAAAGATTCTAACCAGGCAGGACCACCAGGTAAAGATTCTAACCAGGCAGGACCACCAGGTAAAGATTCTAACCAGGCAGGGCCACCAGGTAAAGATTCTAACCAGGCAGGACCACCAGGTAAATATTCTAACCAGGCAGGGCCACCAGGTAAAGATTCTAACCAGGCAGAGTCACCAGGTAAAGACTAACCAGGCAGGGCCACCAGGTAAAGACTCTAACCAGGCTGGGCCACCAGGTAAAGACTCTAACCAGGCTGGGCCACCAGGTAAATACTAACCAGGCAGGGCCACCAGGTAAAGACTCTAACCAGGCAGGGCCACCAGGTAAAGACTCTAACCAGGCAGGGCCACCAGGTAAAGACTCTAACCAGGCAGAGTCACCAGGTAAATACTAACCAGGCAGGGCCACCAGGTAAAGACTCTAACCAGGCAGGGCCACCAGGTAAAGACTCTAACCAGGCAGGGCCACCAGGTAAATATTCTAACCAGGCAGGGCCGCCAGGTAAAGATTCTAACCAGGCAGTGCCACCAGGTAAAGACTCTAACCAGGCAGGGCCACCAGGTAAAGATTCTAACCAGGCAGGGCCACCAGGTAAAGACAGACAGAGAGATAGAGGGATGGGGTTTAGGGAGGTCTGGGGACAAGCTTCACTAACTCAACCCTCTGGGCCAAACTGTGTCTGACCTACCTAGCTTATACTAACCCCACTGGAGTCCTTGATGCACAGTGCAAACAGGCAGACATATTCAGCCAGTTCATACTACATTTTGTCTAGTTCATACTACATTTTGTCTATTTCCTGTAAGGGTGAGATTTTTATTTATTTACAGTTTCACAGAAACGTCTCAGTTACAGTGCCTTCAAAACATCCTCATGTTCCTCCAATTTCTGCTGTTCCTGTTTTTGCTGTTGATTAAAAATATGAGACCAGGTTTTCATGAGGTCAGAACTAGAGGCTCTTTTCCTAAATACTTTTGAGGGCATTATGATTCTCAGGCCAGATAGTTGTAAGTATGAAATCTAAAATACATTAACAGTATTTTATTGGAGGCTTAGCATTTGAGAAATGTTGTATTGGCTTCTTCTCAAGACTTTCTGAATTGTAACCTAAAATGATTGATGAATAGTTTATTTGCATTATTTTAATAATGATAATGTTCTAATTATCTTACCATGTTCACCAGCTTTGTTAAATTGTACTTTGTCTGAAACTCTTAACATTTTGTATAGAGCTGATTGTAACATTAAGGGGGGAAAAAAGGGAACCACTGCCCAATGTCAATGCCAGTGATGCTCTGTCGGTTACCATTAAGGTAGTGCTTGTTCAAGTCCCTCTTTAGTAATTCTTCTCTCCTTGTCTAGATGCTGAGTTGCGGATGGAGGTGTTGGAGCTGTGTGGTGCTCCTTGTCCCAGCCCAAGCCCACCGAGGGAGCAGCTGTTTAGCCACTTCTCTCTGAAGGACCTGCAGCAGGAGCCCTCTCTGAACTGTCCCAGCCCGGTCCGCAGTCCCACCTCTCCCCCTGCCCAGCTCCACCCCTCCCCCTGGCCCTGCGGCAGCCCCACATCCTCCCCAGCGGAGCCTCATCTCCTGGGTTCTGGCTTCTACCAGCTGCAGCTGGGGCCCTTCCTTCCAGACGGCCTGTCCATGGGGCCAGAGGGTGGGGCCTCTCAGAGGCTGCAGGTGGACTTCTCCCTGCCCTCCGTCCCCCAGCCCCCACCCTTGACTGCCATCGCCCCATCCGTCTCCGTCACTTCTGACTTTGGGGCCATCAGCAGTTACCTGTGTCCCTCGGCCCTGTGCCCCCCTCCCGTCCAGCACTCCCGCTCTCTCACTCAGTGAGGGGAGGAAGAAGGATGTCTTTACCCTGAGAACATTCCAATAATGCCTGGGTTGTCTGTACTTCTAAGTACTGCCAGTTGAAGCTAACTTGGACCAGAGCTCACACGTGATGGTGTGAAGCTCCCCAGGAGAGAAACTATATTTTTGCGGGGCGATGGGGCTTACCTGTATCAGAGTGTTTACTAGGGGGACTCCCACTGCTCGCATGCACAATGGCTTACCTACCTGTCTGTTCTGGAAAGGCAGTAGTTCTACAGGGACGTTCCCAGTTCTTAGAGAATTCTTCGATAATGTTGGGACTGGAAAAGCAGGTAGGCTCGTTGATGGCTCCAAGGCCAAAACAGTTAGCCTGATGTTTGTTGCAGTGGCCTCCTCCTCGTCCAGAGCAGAACTAGAGACTGTGATTTAACCTCCCTCACTGATTTCCCAATGTTTACTGGGAACAGTGAGCAGCAGACAGACAGCATGACCTGGAGTCCTTGATGCTGTATTATAGCAGTATGTCCACAAGAGATGTTCTCCCTCTCTCTATCAGTTCTGATAAGGCTGTTTTTAGAAGCAGGGTTCAGTCTGCACTTGTATGACTTATCACCACTCTGACTGTGGACCTCTTAGGTAGGATCAGCCTCCCTGGTTCACTGTGAGAGGTTCCACCTCTCTTGAACATCTACAACTGAAACAGAAGGTTTTGTATACAGTATGTTTAAAAGGAAAGATCTGTATAGGAATACCGTGAAACAATGCTTTTGATATTGTCACAATGTTTTTATTTTCTTGTTCTTTGGTCCCAGTTGTTCAGGTATTCATTGGAAGGTTTGCAATAAGAAACCTGAGTTTGTGAAGGGGGTACTTGTGTTCTCTCTTTCCAGTTTATGTTGACGTTTGAAAGGTCTTGTACAGTACCAAACTCACACAATTGCCTGATAACCACGGTAGGCACGTTAGCCTGTGTTTTGCGCATTATTGTACATGCTACTGTAGGTAAGTCACTGAATACACAGGTACTGTAGACTCTGGCTTCTTCCCTGTATTTCAACTCCAGGTTTTGTGTGATTAAGGGTTGAATATTGCCCCGAACCACACATCCGACAACAGTCATTGAAAAAGCCCAACCGCATTGAAGGACATCGACCCAAAAGGGGTGTGTTCAGAAGGGTGAAACGTTATGAACGTTGCAGAGGGAGAATGTGATATACAGAGCTAACACGCTTGCTAATTCCGTACCGTTGCACCCTCCTGAACAGACCCCAGGTTTCACTGATGCTTTACAGTATCCTGCCACTAGAGGACCTCGGCTGTCACTTCGTCTGAAGAGAGAGCCTGCCTGCCTGCCTGCCTGCTTCGTTCCCCCTACTGAGGGGGAGAGAATCCGTCCCCTGTGCTCTCTGTCCCGACGGCAGGAAAACTCCATGCCTTTATTTATTCCCCATTTTCTCTTTTTATAGGTTGGGTTTTCCTCTACTCCCTGCTCTGACCTGAGCTGTTCTAGATCCGTCTATGTTTTTGTTCAACCGTTCTGGACGTTGACTATCGAGGCAGGAAGGGGAGTAGGAGCACTGCCTTTGTTTATTATTTTTTAGCATTTATATCGTACTGCTTCTGTTTATATTGGTTTGTAATTATAATTATTATATTTTGTAAAAAAAAAAAATACAAAAGGAAATATTAAAGATTTTGACAATTAATGAAGGTCATTGCTCACACACACACACACACACACACACACACACCAGTACTTGAATTCTAGTCTTGTGTGCAAATCTGTTGAAAGAGACTTCAGTATTTAATTCAATTTACAAGAACATTGTACCCACATTAATCTCTTGTGGACAGACTATGTATCTGACCAAATTATGCAAGATTTTAATTCTGGGTTAACTAAGATTATACCCAAATAGGCCCACATTATTTTGGGTGTACATATCCTGTGATTGTGAGGTGTCAGTATAGTAGCTGAATAACCCACTGCACCGTGGAGATCTCCATTTGGGTATACGTTTTTCAGCAAATTGGCTAACCCAGAACTCACTGAATAACCCAGTAGCTGAATAACACATACTGAAACAAATCTCCACAGCACTCAGGTACTGGCCTTACACTATGCCTACGGTATAACCAGGCTTCACATTCAACTGGATATACTGTACATTTCTGCATTACATTCTTTTGAAATAGGGTCTGGTTTATTTGAACTCTGCGGTAGGTTAACTGACGCAACAGAAAGCAAGAAATTACAGGCTTGCTTCCTCAAAGGTAAACTCATTAATTATTCTTCATTCCTTGGAAAGTGATTAAGTAACTGGCAGGTGAACACTAGCAAGGAGCAATAACCATTCATTAGGAAATGAGGGAGGGATCTGGCATCCACCAATTCCCATACATTGTTTTTCTAATGTGATATGTGACCCACAATTTGATAAACGAGATAGTGAACTTGGCATGTGTAGGCTATTGGCTGACTATATGAGAGGCTACTACAGGACACCGTCATAACTGGGGGGTGGGGAAAAGCCAGGGAACAGGATGAGTTAGTAAGGTTATTGGGACTGTCACACATCTCTACACAGAGCTCTGTGCCGTGTGACTCTCAGAGGACACCATTCGTGGTAGCGGACCCGTTTCTAATGAGGCGTGTTGAGATTTGTTTACACAGGCAAGACAAGCTGCTTATGACCCATATCTCAGGTGAATGAGAGGGTTCAGATAGGCAGACTCGGGGTGCTGGAGGGATAGGGATTCATCTTTGCTCCAGGATGGACGATAGGAGTCTGGCACTAGTGGCTCTTTTTGTTGGACTTCATATTTGCACCACTTCAGGTGAGAGTTTGTATAACATTTTAGAGTGGTGTGTCTACAGACATTGGGAGTTGGAACAAGTCTTGCTTCTCTTATTAAAGTAAAAAAAAAAAGACTAGCTATTTAAGAGCCCTTGATTGACTAGCATGCTGCTACCTCCACACGTGCTCTTGACACTGTTTTTTTCTTATATCAGAGTGTAGGCTGGACCCTCACTAACCTGAAGTAGGCTAGGTTACAGCAGTCTGTTTTATTACAGTAGTTCTGGTCCATCGTGGAACGACCCCAAAAATATAATAGTGCCATGTTTATAAGGGGATTCTTCAGAAGCTCCCACCATACTTCCCCTTCTGCGATAACCTACAAGATCACAATTAGATTGGACAGTTTAAAGGGCCAATCTGCAGTTCAAACAATAATGAAGCATCACCCTGTCACTGATTTGGTAAACAGCTGAGGGATGGGGCTGGAGAAATGTGACCAATGTCAAACTCATGGACAGAGCTATGGATACAAGGACTGACGACACAAACAAACAAGTAAAACAAGGTTATATTTTGGGTCTGGAAGTTATATTCTTCAAGAATCAATGGGTATATATTATTAATTTTAAAAAGGATGTACTGTAGCAACTACAGATTACCCCTTTAAATGAATTCAGAGCTTGGTTGTGGAGGAATGCAATTGTTTTTGATTGTTTTAGTTTCATTGTGTGTGTGTTTTTTTATCATTTTGTAATGTATTGCTTTTTTATGTTTTATTTTTCATATGTTGTTTCTTGATCTTGTGTCGCCTTTCAGGATATAGGTCTCATTTGATAGCGCCGATAGACATGGTCGCTCTGTTTCTGGCTCCTAAACAACTTTGTTACAAGCATTTCGCTACACCCGCAATAACATCTGCTAAATATATGTATGCGACCAATAAAATTGGATTTGATTTGATTTGGAAAAGAGATTAGCTAATCTCAATATGACTTCCTGGATATATAAATGATATAGCCTAGATAGATAAATAGATTAGTAAGGAATGCACAGTAACATCCGGGAGTATATCAGAAAGGGCTATAATTTGTTGGTATTTCTTGAGAGCTCTCTCTAAAGGGAGAGCTGTGGTTTGTTCAGCCAATGGCAAGCAATAACATATATAGATCAAAACAGATGATTTTGAATGTGCTCTTCCCATTTGTGATTTAATAGTGAAACATTATTTCTACACACCTTTAATCATCTATATCCTCTCTTTTCCCTCTGATCCATGCAGAGTTCTCCCTCAGGCCTAGCAAGCCTCAGTGTGTCTTCATGGCCTGGGCCAATGTGACCTGCTACTGGACACCTGGACAGGGCTCTCCCCCAGACACACGCTACACACTGCAGGTCAACACGTGGTTTCCATATGTTTTATGTGTTTGATACCACTCAATTTATTCCATTCCAGCCGTTACAATAGACACAGGTAATACACAGTGTCAAATACAATAGTCTATACACACATGTTTAACACACATCTTACTTTACATATTTACATCTCTCTCTCCCCCCAGTGAAGCTGCCCACCCCAGTCCTCTCAAGCTTCAGTCTGCCAGCAGTGAAAGGCAGGCCCAGATGCCTGAGCTGTAGTGGACTACAAATTCCAGCTTCCCTGTGTCCAAGGACCGTATCTCCTCTGGTGCTCTGGTCTACCAACTACAGTACAGCACAAAGGAGCAGGTGGGTGGCCCACTGTCATTTCCAATCTGTCAGTTACTGTAGGACTATATCATGTATACAGTGTGATGTGTATAATATGTACAGTGCATTAAGAAAGTATTCATACCACTTGACTTATTCCACAATTTGTTTTGTTACAGACGGAATTCAAAAGAGATTAAAAGTGAAAACCTGTTTTTAGAAATGTTTGCAAATGTATTGAAAATTAAATACAGAAATATATCATTTACATAATTATTCACACCCCTGAGTCAATACATGTTTGAATCACCTTTGTCATTGATTACAGCTGTGAGTCTTTCTGGGTAAGTCTCTAAGAGCTTTGCACACCTGGATTGTGCAATATTTGCACATTATTCTTTTTTAAATTATTCAAGCTCTGTCAAGTTGGTTGTTTGTCATTGCTAGACAGCCATTTTCAAGTCTTGCCATAGATCTTCAAGGCGATTTAAGTCAAAACTGTAACTAGGCCACTCAGGAACATTCAATCTTGCC